ATTCGAACCTGGGTGGCCAATAGGAAATACCATGCAGATGACCATTGTGGCAACCCAGTTATTCATTAAATCTTTGAAATCAAATTTACTTAAACTTAATGTCTTAAAGTATTGGGCTTATAAATAACTTATGACTTGTACTTTCATAACCTTAATGGGCTTAGATACCATAATTTATTTCTTAAATGTATAATACCAACCAAATTAAGAATATAAAATCTGAGACATTACATCACCTGTGTCGTTCTCTTACATCTCTAAATTAAGGGCATTAATATTTTAACTATAATAACATTTAACAAAATATACGGATAAAAATTACACCGTTGAAAAGAAATGCATTACGATATTTGCATTAAGGGCATCAAAACTGTACAATTGCAAAATCATTCTCCAGGATATTAATACAAATAACTACTTCAAAATTCTTTACTAAATCTACGGATCAAAGTGCCATGCAAATATTTCCCAAATTACGCTTGAAGACCTTAGTAGTGTACTTATATGATTTTTTCCCCCATTAGTAGTTGTTAAATCTATCGAGATCATCCACCAAATAAAACCAAAACGAGTTAATAAATGTGTTCTCTTCTACAGCCAAAATTACATAAACCAATATAATGAGCAGGCCCAACTTATATTTATCGCTCTTATGCTTGCAACGTTTGAAAACATCTAACAATAAGCCTCTATTCTATCGTTGCTATGCTTGAAACGTTCCTTAACCAGTCTACAATTATACCCTAAAGTCGGATCCTCGTCCTCCATATCTCCCGCTTTAAACCTGGTGCCCAATGTAAACTCTTGCAATCCAAATCTTGCAAGCTTATCTCCGATTTTAATCCATACATCATTTTCTTTTGAGGTACTTATCGACCTCAGAATTAACTGGTGGACTAATTCTAACGTGAGCTTTATATCCCTTAAGCTCAACAACTGTCCAAAGCAGGAGTGTGTGAATAAGTCTTGATGTAAGTCATCCAAACTGTAGATTACTTCATCAACCAATTTCATTCTACACTTTTTACTTATCTTCATGTTCACTGTGTCTTCAACATCCATTTTTTCCTGTAACCAAAAATACAAAACAAGATATGAGTTAGGAATCAATTAAATTATATATACAATTAACTACAAGAAATTATGATTCATTTAATGATGAGATGCAGGTTAATATTGGACATCACTCGAGATAAAATTATTTACATTATTAGTAGGCAAATGACATTATTTAATACCTCAGGCCGACCCAAAAAACACAATGGTGACGTGAAATCAAAGTAAAGTAACAAAAATTTCTTTGACTCAATAAAAAATCACTCCAGGACAATCTATGGATGTTTTACTTAGGATACTCAATTCCATTGCAAAACATAAACTCACATTAGTAGGAACAAATGGATTCTATACAAAACCATTTGAAACAGATTACATTACGATCACTCTAGGACAATCTATGGATGTTTTACTTAAAGCAAATCAATCTTCTAAATCTCTACTACATGGTAGCTAGATCATATTCATCAGCATTTGGGGCCAGATTCGGCAATTCTACCACAACAGGGATTTTACAGTATAAGCAAAATATTTTCAACCTTTTCTCCTACCTCTCCCTCCCTCCCTATAATGGGACACCGAGATCGCCAGAATTTACGGAGAAACTAAGAAGCCTAGCCAGCAAAACTAAGGTAGAAAACTTACTCCTAGTGCAGTTGCTTCCACCGTCATAGTAGTATGGAGAGGATTTTTTGTATTTTTTCGCAAATTTGTAGTCGATTTTAGTGGGTATTGTAGTGAAGTTGATGAGATGTAGATGAGGAGAAGAAGAAGAAGACGTTAATTTCAAACGGAGAAGAAGAAGATTTTTTCTAATGGTGAAAAAGGGTTTTACAATGTTGAAGGAGGGGAAGTAACGACAGAAATGAGGGGAAATTGGGAGATTTTGGAGTTAAAAATTGAACGACAATTTCGTTATTTTACCAATTAAACTATTTTGAATTTTTTTTTTCCTTTAATATGGGTCAAAGGCTATTCGTCCAATATCATGGGGTGGCCCAGCTGTTTGGCCAAATTCCCCCTTTTACTTATGGGTAATTTTTCTGCACCACGTTTAAAATATATTTTCAATAAATACAGCACAACAAATTTACAATTATAGTCATAATCTAATAACAACTAAAAGGGTAATTATATTGTCATCACAAATAATATTTCTTACACCACAACTCCACCCATTTTAATTCTCTATAATACAATTAAGAAACACACAAAAAAAAAAAAAAAAAAAAGAACAGAAAAAAGTGGTGTACGTTTTCATTCTCTCTGCTCTACATCACAGCTCTCCAACCCCACCTGTAGCAGAATTGATCTTTGATTTGTGGAATTCCGGATCAGATTATCAATCCAACTAAGATTGACTACCTCAATTAAGACCCAAGAACCACAATTATTCGTCAACACTTCAATAGCAACAGTTGCACCCACAAAGAACACAATGATAGTGTTATCACAGCTACAAAGGCACCGACTCAAGCAGCCATAAAGGCAAAAGAAAGAAGAAAAACTGAATGAAAAGGCAATGGAAGGAACAACCGGTATCTCTCTTTCGAAGAAGGGAATAACACACGTGAACAACCACGAGATGGGGCAACAATTATATAGAGTACATTAGGCATAGAAGAAAAAAAAGGCCAAGTCCAAACCAATACATGGGCCAATACTTATAAGCCGTCCAAAAAGGGGGAAACAGGCCACGAGCAGCTCTAACTAAATTATGATACTTCAACTAACCCAAATAGGTCTAGGTTCGGGTCGTCCCATTGAGGTGTCAATATTTCAATTCAGTCATTTGGTTGATGCCAACTTAATAATTCCGATTTAATATCATTGCTCGAGATTTATTGGATATCAAAAAATCCAACAAATCTCTATAGTGATGCCCAATAAACCTACAAGCGATTAAAACACAAAGTTAATACTTGCATAATCAAAACAACTAATAAAATTGGAATCATAGACCTCACATCGTATTTCAGACTCAGAACACGACCCACTTCGTATACTCACCAGGTGTAAGGTCACAGATAAATACTCAACTAGAAATAGATAATCACAATAATCAATCAAAAGCATATTATGCATGCGAATGATGCGATGAAAATATAACGTAGGATAACTCATAGGTCTTTTCAAAATATACGTTCACATATAACAACAGATTGACACTAAGTTAATCAATCAAACGATAAAAAAAACATGCAATAAATACATAAATGACCCCACGAAAAGATCTCACCACACTTATTCTATCACATTTCGTTACTCGTACATCAAGAAAACATATCTCCTCTTATCACCCATCATCCTCACTAGAATGATCACTCAACTCATGTCTAATTGGTAACCACAATAAATCCTAAGTCCATGAGATAATCATCTATCACCACATCACTTCTCCCAACCTAAATGGTTAAGGGGTCTCCACCTAATAGAAGTGATAAAAGTGTCTATCACACTTCACCTGATTTGGGTCTTTACAAATAAAGGATTCCAACATTTAATCACATCTTCACTCGTAATCCAAAAAGTCACACTCCCTGTCTCCGGTACATACTACCAATGTACCTCTAGGCATCTATACTTCACATTACCAAAAGATATCATCACACTTACTGTTAATGCATCCCAACCTACTATGCTTGCAAAATAATTACACCAAGTAATCAGATAACTATCAAATTCATGCAAATGTACATATCAAACACATTGAAATGTAACATATAATCATGCAACAAAATTAAGCAATCACATATATACAAAAAGTTTTACATACAGATGCACACAGAGTAACTAGATTTACTCTCAATAAACTTCACTGGGTCATAACTCGACCCCATAGCCACATTTGCCTCAACTCTCATCTTATCATTCTACTTATCCTTCTTCTTGGGACAATCCCTAATAAAGTGTCCAAACTTACCACAATTGTAACACTACTTACCACCGGACTTGTCCCAACTCTTGCCCTTCTTCTTACCACATGTCACTACTCGAATCACTATTGTCTTGAGCTCTATCCATATTCATTTGCTTAAACTTCATTCTACTCCTCATCATATGTATCTCACCATTCATTTATCTTATTTTTCAGCCTTAATCTCTATCTTTTTACTTCTAAGAGAATCAATGACAATCTCAAGTGTTAAGTTGTTCCTACCATATTTAATAGCATTCTCTATATGAGTCAAACATAGAATTCAGAAAAATAATGACCTTATATGTTTTAGACACATTCTCATCACAATAAACGAAATCTTGAACAAATTTATTAAAAATATCTAGAATGTCATCAAGATTCTTTAAAGGATTTTTTTTTAAAACTAAAAAATGTTTCAAGCAGTACAAGTTATTAGAAGTAGACTTAAGGAAATATAAATCTTTCAACTTTTTCTAAAGTTCTTTTATGGTGTCAAGTTTACCAAATCTTCTCAAAATAGTGTCAGATAGGTGTAAAATAATTGAAGTGTAAGCAAATTCATCATATTCCTCCTTTTGTACTTCTATTAAATTTGTAGGAAATTTGTTATCTACAACTTTTGAAACTTTTTGTTGAATCAAAATACCCTTCACCTTTTGTTGCCAAATTGAAAATTTTCATTTTCCATTGAAAAATCCAACTTTGAAATGTGAATATATTTTGAAAATAAAACAACTAAAGTGCACCGATAAGTCACACAAAGTAATCTTAAGGTCACAGTATACACCGTTCTAAATTCTAAGAGTTTTGTGAGACTCAAGATCTTGGTATAAAGGGAATGTTCAAACGGGTTAAGTCTAGGTATTCTAACACAATAATCAATACAACACGAATGTATATCAACAAAAATTCAAATTCTTACGCGATGCAATCTCATACAGTAACTAAAGGATAATTAAAACACAAAATCAATCACCAAATTGCAATCAAAATCAATACTTTAAACAGAGCAAATAATTTCTAACAATTAATGGTTACTCCACACGTTAACACGTTAATGTTGAAATTTAAATTAGGATAAGCTAATATATCAGAGCAGACCAATCCGAGTTTGTAAATAATGAGATATGTAAATTTATCACTTTATGGCCGACATTATTTGTCCTAAAACTTCTAGCCACCGCAGCAACCTATTAAGCAAAATCGAATCCCGAATGCACAAAGGGCAAAATCGTTCAAATCTCACTATTGTAACTTGAAACAGAAAACTAACAATATCAAATCGTTAGAAATCATGTTAGAAATATACGGCCTGAAGAAACCATCTCGAGAATCGCGCCTACACGTGCTCTGTTAGAATCAGAACTTGTCGTTGTAACTGGTTGTTGCCACAACCACGCGCACTACTGCCGACTATGCCTCAGCCTGCATAGTTTTTCTATGGTCTTGGAATCTTCACCGGATCATCGGTTTGGTCGGAAAACAAGTTATAGGTACGGTGTTTGAGAGAAAAACTGGACAAATTTTTCGATCTGCTTTTTTGACAATTTTCTAGGTGTTTCTGGTTGGATTTTCGCCGAAATTCATACACCAACTTGCTCTGATACCAATTGTAGCGAAATTTATCTTTGATTTGTGGAATCTGAGCTCAATTTATCAATCCAACTGAGATCGACCACCTCAATTAACGACCCAAGAACCACAACTATTAGCCTACACTTTAGTTGCTACAATTTTACCCACAAAGGACACAAAGTGACAGTGTTATTACAGTCACAAAGGCAATGGAAGGAACATCCAGTTTCTCTCTTTTGAGGAAGGAAATAACACACGTCAACAATCACAAGATAGGGTAGCGAATATATAAGGTACATTAGGTAGAGAAGAAAAAAGGTCAAGTCCAAACCAATACATGGGCCAAAACTTATAAACCGTCCATGAAGTGGGAAAACGGGCCACTACTAGCACTAACTAAATTAGACTACTTCCAATTGCCCAAATAGTTCTAGGTTCTGGCCGTTCCATTGAGAAGTCAATATTTCAATTCAGTCTTTTGGTCGATGCCAAATGAGTAATTCCTATTTGA